ATATATACATATGTGTGTATATATATTTACCTATTTATTCACAGAAATTTCTCTGTTTCGCTCTCTCACGGAGCACCACACCAACCCACAAGGACCGAACGGTGGCATGGGAAAGATCCTGCGATCGGCTCCACTCTACGTCCGTCTCTCAGAGCATTCCCGGGCTACAAGTTGAGGCCGCAAGCACATGGAGATGACCTGCTGACAGGTCTGTTGGTGAGGAGCGCCATCACTACCGCCAGCTGAGGGCAACAGCGAGACGGACAAGCCGTTTTTCCCAGCGATCTCAGCACTGTAGCTCAGTTCTTCTTCCGACGCGGCTAGCCGCAGGCCACCTATCAGGAATTGTCAAACTCAAGTCATCTGGACAGCAACGAATATGGGCCATCATGGCTGATATGTACAGCAACCGGTCTTCTCTCGGAGGGAGTCCATAAGCGGGGGATTCCCCAATCCTGCGTACAGGACTACTAAAGAAAGACCTGCAGCCCGTTGCATGGAGCTATTGCCAGAATACCATCACTTATTGCTGGGGCACCCTGGAATCCGTTACCGGTGCTGTGGGTGTAGATCTCGTCCACAGAAGACACCTTTCCGTCCCCGTCAGCGTCCCTGAAGCGGTAAAGGTGGCCGCTCTCTCCAACAACAAAGATGCTGCCGTCCCCGGCAATAGCTGGATTGGCAAAGGAATCTGGCAAACAGCTGTGCTCAAAAGTGTCGTTGGCCGCAGGCCCATACCAGTCTGGGAAGTCATAGTCCCACAGCGTGCGTCCATCCGTGCCATCCAAAACAACAAGCTTGCCGGGTTTCCTGAAATCGTCCGTGTTGTTATACTTTTCCAAGTCTTTGGCCCCACCTCCTTGCAGAGCTACGGCCGGATTTGGACCTGTTGGAACCACCACGAATGGCCGGCTACCTTGCAAAGAGAGTGTAACAAGTCGCGGACGCATGCACCATACACAGGAGCTCACAGTGGCACAAAGTCTGCAGTAGTCAGTAGTCAGAACCAAGATGTCCAGCTTCAAGTCTGAACCCCCGACTACACGATTTATCAAACAGGCAACTGTGCAGCTCGAACTTTGTCAAACACATGATGTCGCTGGCGGTTGCAGTGTCTACATTCTACATTCTAAAGCCACGCACAGAACAAGCACCGCACTGCCGAGATGCCGGGTGAAATGGCGGCACCTGCATTGGCCGCATATGTTGTGTTTCGCCGCCACAGAAGCGAACCATCGCTGACCAAGTAAGCAGACCTCGGCTGCAACGCAAAACCTTTCCACACCACACTCCAAGAGCGTACAGGGACAGGTACAAAACAGGCTTGCAACAATTTCGGCAAGAGACACGAATCCCGACCTGAAGTTGGGGATCTCTTCATGGTTGCTGGTGACATAGACGACCCCATTGGGCCCACTTGCCAAGCCCCCGGTCGTTGCACCAGTAAGGCTAGGTGGGGGGACCGTCCAGATCACGGACCCGTCGCTAAGACTCAGACGGTATGTGCCTCCAAAGAAGTCTGCAAAAAGGAGCGACTGATTCTGAATAGAGCCGATCCAGTTGTAGAGAGGATAACGTGCACGGAAAGACCATAGCATGCTGCCGTCAGTAGCATTCAAAGCCACCACAGTAGTTGCTCCACCCAGAGACGTACCTTCACCCTTTCCGAAGCATGAGGAAACAACGACACCCATGCCCGCAATCACTGACAAAGTGTCGGGCCCCGAACCATATCCAGCCTTCCGTTGCCACACTGTGCTTCCAGTCTTTGCATCGATGGCAAAAAAAGTACAGTCGTCCTGCAGGGTGTATATGTGCCCATAGTACACGGGATTGGCAAAGACATAGTGGTTTTTGAAGCCACGTTTCCATAGCTGCTGACCTTCACGTGAGAATTTGAAAAGCTCGCCCGCGCTTGTCGAAACATATATGTCCCCGTTCGGGTCCACAATCGGGCTTGAACGGACCAGAGCATTGTGTGGCGCAGTCCAGGTCCAGGACGGAAATGTCAAAGGATGTGGTGGGACTGCAAAGGTGGAGCCTGACCTCGCAGGGCATGTCAACACCACAGCTACTTGCACACCCGATGTAGCCCTGGAATAAAGCACCTACTGACTTCCTGTGCAAAGAAAGGAAAGAAAACAAGAAAGCAGCCTGATACTGTTGCCGTTCTTCCCGATCCATTCCGCAAAGTGCGCAAGTGAGCGGCCACCCTGAGAAGCACCTCGTGTCGCTCGCGATACCGACAGGCTGTGCTGCAGAAGTTGAAAATTTGGCAAGTCGGTCTCGTCATCGCCATCGCAGAGCTGCGTGTAGTTTGACGCCCCGCATGCAAGGCAAGCAACGATGGCAGTGGCCGCTGCACGAAGTTGCAGTGCCATTGAATATGCAACGGTTCAATGCTCGCAAACTTTCGCAGCCCGGTCCGGCGGTACACATATGTGGACATGCCACGCACTCCCATTCTCTAATTACGAGCAGAACCAGAAAGCACAAACTAGTCTGAAGATACCTGGAAATCCGAAGATTCCCAACAAGACGTCCTGCTTGCGCAAGGCCATGACGTGCTCGACGGCTCTGATTGCAATGATCTGTGCACGCTCCTGGAACTCATGCGAACTGGAAATGAAGGAACGGAGTTGCTGAACACAATGCTGACCCTCCTCAAAGAACGTGGGGGCACATGCCTCACGTCGAGTTTCATGTGATGCATGCTCTCATCAGCAGTGCGATGATGCAGCACGTGCCGCTTGGTGCGAGGCCGGAAAATGGGTCATCCAAAACTTGCACGACTCCCGGTCCTCTCACGCATCTTGCTTTAGAGCAACTCTGGGTACGGAAGAAACACGTAATGTAGGCAAGCTCTCAACTCTCAACAGAACTGTCCCACACACGAAACGACGGAATGCTTCTTGTCGTCGTCCTTGTAATTTTTTCTGCGCCAGAAAGCCCAATAAACTCTCAAAGCTTCCCTCGGGTGCGTCCACAACATCCATGCCACGTGCACCTGGCGATCTCTGTCGCAACCAGAAACCCTACGGCGCCTCTGCTACAGCATGACACTTCAAGCAACAGGCACAGCATGCCACACATGCCCATAGAGCATGATCAGAGAAGCATCCAGAATCAAGTTGAAACTGTCTGCCACGAGCGTCAAGCCTGATCTGTGTAGACCGATCGCCCAATCGGCTTTCGTGGACATTTATCCACCATACCAGCCTCAGAACGAACGCTGAGTTCAGTGACCATTACAGGAAGAGCAGCCTCCCGCCTGCATGACCGGGATCATCTCACAATGCCGGATTCCTTCCAACTGCCGGCTTGGGGTCAACCTCCATTTCGACTCTACTCCCGACCATGTCACGACTCACCAGCTCTGCCGCGCCGCGTCTGACAGTTCACGAGCATGCATGGGTTAGCACATGCTCACCGGCCTTCCATCTTTGGTGCGATGATCTTGCTCCAAGTTCTCATACCTTCTTTCCGGAATCCCGAACAGCAAAGTGTACCTTGACACACCGGTGTCACACCAGAAGCGGAAGACATAACAATGCAATACAACACGTGGAATAAGTTCTGGCACTTGGGGCTGTGATCGGCAATGCGCTCCACCATCTTGAGAGCTTCTTCGGCTCCGTCCTGCTGGTGGCATTGACAATCGTGTGGTTCCTGCTTGGCACATTTTGGGCCTGGCCAAAGAACTTGCCCTCGTTCAGCCCCGCCACAAACAAGGTCTGTTCTGGGGTCGAGCCCTGCGCGGGTACCTGGCGTCGTGACGCGGGCAATCGGAACAATACAATTTAAAGGAGCTGCGCACGGTAAAGGCAGTGGTTGCAAATCCGCGCCAAGTGCAAGGGCGAGAACTGTGCCACGCCTCGCATTCACTTCGACTGCATGCAAACAAGCTCTTGTTTGCATTCGCTTCGTGATTTGACAAACTTTCAAGCAAGTCCAGACATGTGGGGTCACGGCTGGCCGAGAAGTCCCGACGACATGTCTCAACATGGCCACGCACACCAAGTCCACGATGCAACTGTTGGGGTGAGCTGTTCGTATTAGCGGATTTTGCTGCGACATGTCAAACGTGTTTGCAATTTCGCCTCTGTCGGTGTCTCTTCTATTCGCCCTCTGCGGGTCCAGCTTTGTGCCGCATGGCACTTTCGAGATGCACGAGAGATCCGAAACGGTGCAACACGCGCACCCAACCATACCCAACCGTCCGGAACCCACCACATCCTTCAACTCTAGTGTCCTACCAACCACTTCAACTCACAGCCTCGGTTCGTGAAGGGGTTCCAGCTGTCGGGTGGCAGGAGCTGGGTTATATTCGCAAATATTAAGACATAACATATCGCACGCGATCGCGCAGCGCTATTTGGACGCATGGACGTCAAAGAATCTGCTCGAGGTGCGGCAATGGCCCACTGGTTCTTCAAGCGCACTTCGCCGGAACCACCACAACCGTCCACCTGCCCTTGGAAGAGCCGTGGTACGAAGCAGCGACGCATGTCTTGGCTTCGCCGGCGGCGGTCCCACAGAGCTCCGCACCCTCCTCGGCGGATTTTGTTGCAGGCTACACTGCGCTTGCATGCGACCACCAGTCGCGACGGCGCAGGACTCCTAGCGGGCAATCGGTGCAATCGAGCTGGATGAGGGGTGCGCCATCCAATGCCTACGCTGCAAGACGTCATGCCCTTCATGCGTCGCTGTGCGAGGAGCCTTGCATGGTTCATGCAGTGACGTGTTTACGCGAGGAGCCAATGCAGGTCAACCGTGACGAGGTACTTGCATGGGACTGATGCAAGCTGGCTGGTCCCCCACGGACCGCGCCGACCCATCCCCCCCAATAGAAGGCCGCCCAGCACACCAGCAGGCCGACCACAGACTCCTCAACGCAGGCGCAACAAGGCGCGGTCAGCCGCCGCAACCAGAGGCCGGCTCCGGCCCGCCGCTCGACAGCATCCCCCACCTTGCCGGCGGGCCACAACCGCTTGCCCTTGCGGCCCTAGCGAAGGACCGCGGCGGCCGAAGAGTAGCTCGCTATAGGACGGTAGAAGGACACCTGTTTTTTTTTTTCACGCGCCTTTTTACGACCGCAATCGTGCACGCACTACCTGTCCTGGCGGACTCCTGCACAGTCAGCCGGCTAGGGAAGCTTTCAGCGCGTCCCCGCG